CATAACACAGACCTGACACAAAACAGGTACTCAAAGTTTGTGACTATCCCTGAGATACAAATGACTACCTTTTTCCTTCTCAAAGGACTACTACCACTAGTTCTTCCCTGTGGTCCTTCTTCTTCCCTAGGAATAGAACAGCTTATCAGTTTCTGTGACGTACCCTGGTATTTCTGAAACAAGTAATAAAGACTTTTATTGCTAATGATAACTACAGAGAAAGAGATAGGTTTAACAAATGACATACATTAATTTACTCTTTTAGCAAATGTTTATTGAGTCACTGCTGGCAAGGTGTGACATACTAGTGATACAGGAATAAAAAGAATAAAAAGGGTAGTGATGTAGGAATAAAAATTTCCTTCTTTCCAGAGCTCACAAATTATTTGACTTCAATTACCATTTGTTTTATAAAAGAGAAATAAAAAATGAAAAGAAAGTACACAAATAATTTAGAAAAGAACAAAGAAAATAGGCAGAGGCCAGGTCACGTAGGGCTTCACATGCTACACTGAAGGTATTGGATATATCCAAAGCACAATGGGAAGCCACCAGAAAGTTTTAAACAGAGAAACAATGAGAACTGCCTTTTTAATAGTTAAACATGATAAATTAAAGACATGTATTCATGTGGTCCTGATCCTCCTGAAATGATACCGAAAGGACAGTGAGGCAGTAAAAAGCTATAAGCCCAAAAGGACAAAAAGTATAGGAGAGGAAATAGGAAAAGATAAAAGATGTTCATAGGTTTACAAAATGGAAGCCAGTGAAGGAACAGCCACTGATTTGCTGAGCAGAGAGTTTAAACCTCTAGAGGCAGACAACAACGAAAATCTAGTGGTTCACTCCAGAGAGTTTCAGAAAAAAAACAAAAATAGAAGCACCTCATACTGATTCTGCAGAAGGCTGGGGTAGAGTGAGAGGCTAAAACATCGGGGGTTGGAGTTAGTGAAATTCTTAAGCAGTCTTGAGGCTTGCTACCCACATATGATTTGTGGTCAGAATTACCTTTCTCCAACATGCAAATGAAAGAGTTTTTGGGTTTTTTTTCTTCCAGAAGTATTAAATGTGAAAGACTCTACATAATAGATATCAGACCCATGAGAGAACAGAGTGAGGCTCAAGAATGGAAAAGGAGGATTAAGTAAAAGCAGATAGACTTTAATTATTACCTTACTTCCCTAGTGAGAGATTAGATAGTCACTCTCTGAACAGAATTGAAGTGCTCCAGAGAATAAAGCTGTTGTTACTGATATTTGGGGTGTTTCAATTAAAAACACAGCTTAGTTCTGAACCTTTCAGAGATGCTCACTGCTATATGCCTTACTGATACACTTGGAGTTTCACCTATATTACAGCGCTCTTAAACGGAGAGCTAAGGATTAGCAGATACCTGAGAAAATCCTCCAACATAAAGATCAGCTAAACAAGAAAAAAGAGAGTTCGTCAAAGGAAAAAGACACAACAAAAACAAGGGTGAGAGGGTGTTAAAAATATATAATTAATGTGGTCGGAGAAATAAGAAAAGACTTTTTATCCATGAAATAAGAAACAAAAACTATCAGAAAGCCAAGATCTTAGCACTGTAACAAATGAAACTGTAGTAGTTTAATAGAAGCCATAGAAGAGAAAGTCAATGAACTCTTTTAAAAATCAGAGTGCAAGGATTGGGGGTAATAAAGATGGAAAATAGAAGAGAAGTAAAAATTGGAGATTAAATCCTGTGGTCAGAAATCCAACAAAAAGGAGTTCCAGTAAGAAACTGCACAAGAAAATGGAAGGCAGATCATTACTGAAGGAATAAATCAACAGAATTTCTCAATATTAAAGGACTCAAAACACCTCAGGTTGAAACGCCCACTGAGTATCCATTAGGACGCATGAACAAAGTGAACATAATGGAAAAAAAGAAGATATCAAACCTTCCAGACTGTGAATCAGGTTGTATTTAAAGGATCTGGAGACAGAATGGAACTACACTTCTCCGTAGGGACACCCATGTATGCAAACTAGAAGTCTGGTCATCTTCGTCATGTTAGGAGTGAGTGACAATTCCATTTTCTGAATTAAGGAATATTGGAACAAGTGTGTATAGGAAGTTAGAACAGGGCTGTTATGAATCTAAGCTGCCTGTAGAACACAGAAAAGAAAAGCAGTAAAGCTTTTAAGTTAAAATTTAATAATTGTCTCTGGTCTTCATTCAGACTGAACTTAGTTGCTTTGAGATTTACTCACTCTTAGTTTCTATCTTAAGGGGTCAAATAATATCTATAATTAAAGTATTGGGGACGATTCCTAAGTTTTCTTAACTTAAGGAGATCTCTGCCTAAGATAACTCTTTCTCCCCCATGAAAGGGGCACAGGAAAGGGAAGATGAAGGAAATGGAAAAGAATTAAGCAAGTAGGGAAATCACAATTTAAATGTTCAAAACTTTCACTCAACAGCTGTGCTTAGTTCACACAGATTTCTCTTAGGCTCCTTACCTCCAAACCTATTCCTCCTCTATATAATATAGAGGTCATTCAGAAGGAAGCTAAGCTGTGTCAGAGATCATGACAACCAGTGTTTTCATGTGTTTGTTTGTTTTGTTTTTTGACTAATAACGCTTAGTGTAGTATTTAGCACAGCAAATGGTGCTCAGTAAATATCAATCTAACCTGCTCTCCTGACCTTTTACTATTTCAACAATTCCTTCAGATTGTAGGTGGAAAAGTAGATGCAAATCTGTATTGCTTTGTTTACTTTTTCATCTCTCGGTAGCTGAATTCGTTGGCAAAAAATATTAAAGACTAAACATTGGAATTCTTGTCCTCTTATCCTACAGCATTGAAAAAAGTGAGCTTGAATGCAGTCTGTGTTTTCCCCAAAACGTTTATTCAAGCTCTTAGTAAGTGACAAGTAAAACTGTTTCAATTTACCTGCTAATGAGCTGTGAGACAGTAAATCAAAACCTTACACTATTCATTTAGATGAAAGAAAAAAAGTTCAGACAAATGAATATCCAAGTGAAATAGACTCTGCTTATTGTGAAAACACAGCAGCAAGAGTAGCAGCAGGCCAGGAATAGCATAAACAAATACTAGGAAAGTTATTTTCAGAATTTGTTTACTTCATATTTAACACTGAAATCAAAGATAAGAGGGTCATTAGGAACACCTTCTGCATTACTCCACTTGAGCAATTAGAATCTGTAAGTAGTATAAAGATAATTACTCATTTGGTCCTCCCACACAGCAGTTACTTCATACAATAAATATGAAAACACAGCATTGCATTGCAGGCTGTTTTATACAGGTCTGTTGATCTAGATTGTAGAGGAATGGAGGACATGGACAACTGGAAAGGTCTTATTAAAGTGTTTTACTTAGCTTTATGCCTATGGTAGATGCATAACATTTTTGATTGGCAGTGAAATCATTTCTTTAGACAATCCGATCTAAAAGTCACCTAAATCAATGTGCAGAAGAAAGAAAACCAAACGAAGCCTGTAGATTTTTGTTTGTCTTAATTCATGATAAAAATAGACTTTGTTAAACCAATTGTCCTATGAATCAGGTCAAAATGATTCAACTAATGAATGCCTCCTTACTGGTGTGCTATGTCTAATATTTATAGTAAGCTTCACCATAGTGCCCACCCCCACAAAGGAAATAATGCACTGATTAGTAGTTTAAAATAAGACTACTTATGCCACTAGTATAGACAACCTAATAAGTTTAGGATATTTCCCTTCAAAAATAAAGAACCCTCCACCTAATAATGGTTAAATCAATCCTAAGGTTATAATACGGGATCAAACTCTGCCTAAACATGATTTTAAAATCATATAAATGCATGTACTGTATCCTTGTGGAATGTGTTTATTAACTACATTCTGTAGCTTTAGCACTATTAGCACTATTTGCACTCATTTGCAGTAAAGAATTATAAGAACAGGTGAGCTCAAGATATCCAAGTCCAAACCTTTCATTTCACAGACTGAGAACAAGACCTGAGAGCAACTTCTTCAAGGTTAAACAGGGCTGTGTCACAGATTTGAACTTAATCCTCTTCTTTAGCACCCATCTCCTCTCAGTACTTAAGTCGCTAGCAAAGGGGACAAAGAGAGTCAAGTTGTGCATTCTTAGCTGCTAATTACAGGTTAATCGACCTAATTCTAACTGAATATTAATACAAAAAAGCATGTTTTGTTTTGTGATCTACCTAACATGGTTTTTTAAAAAATCAAAGGCAAGAAATTTAAATCTGTCTATTCATAGTGTATATGCATGAAGGAAAATTGAATTAAGCAAACAGGAAACTTATGATGAAGTTTACTATTAGTGACAAAGCCCTCTCGGATAAAATATTTTGTGTCCCTAAACCATCGTCAATAGAAATCGTCTTTTAAAATGTTTTACAGAGACGTCTTTCTTCTTCCTATAGACGTCTGGCTTGGTTATTCACGTATTCATTTTTTGAATAAACTAGTATTTTCCATTTTTCTTCGATGGGAGTGACTTTTCCAGAAGAGCAGAACCGGATAGTGCACACAAATAGTACGTCTGTGGAAAAGTTGGAGAGACAAAGGGAGATGGGATGGACACTGAGGCTGGAAGAAGTGTTGGGGAAACGGAGAGGGCGTCTCTGCCGGCACGTGTCCTCCCCGACCAATGCCTCCCCCAGATGACTCTGCCGCCTGTCAGCCCGGGCTCGCGCGGGGCTGCGATTGGACGCGCCACCGCCAGGCGCCCTCCAGAAACACACGCGTGCCAGGGAGAGGAGGGGGGCGTTCTTGCGAGTCTCCCCGGTCCCCTCCGCACTCCGTGCCGGGCCTCCCTCTCCGGCTGGCCTCGGCTCGCTCGCGCGGTAGGAGAGTTGGCGCAAACCTCGCAGCGGCCGCCGCCTCCGCGCGCGGACCCCCTCCCGCGCCTCTCCTCCCTCGCCGCGCACTCTGCGCCCGCCATGGGGCCAACTTGGGGCTCCTAAGAGTTGCCGGCTCTTGGTGGCGCGCTCTCCGGCCAAAGTCATCGCAGACGGGCTATGGCTTAGGGCGCAAGAGATTCGGCCGAGAGGCAACGGGAAGGGGAAAGGCCGGCTCACTGAGCAAAGAAGAGGAAACCAGAAGAAAAGCCAAACGATGAGTTTCCACAAGGAGGACGGAGTGAGCAGCCTGTGCCAGAAGGCGCTGCACATCGTCACCGAGCTGTGCTTCGCGGGCCAGGTGGAGTGGGAGAAGTGCTCGGGCATCTTTCCCCCGGACAGGGGCAGCCAGGGCGGAGGCAGCACAGGTAACGGAGGGGAGGCTCCGCTCGCGCCCCCTCGCCCCGCGGGGACCCCGGGTCCAGCGCTTCTCGCGCCGCGCCGCGCCGCGCCGCGCCCGGGGCATCTTTGGGGCGGCGCACCTTCCTACCTTCTCCTTCCTTCGCTCAGCTACTCGCGACTTGGACCGTGGGGCGTTGGGGTCGTGTTTCCTCCTGTCCACTTGCCCGGCTTCTCCCACTCGTGGTCCGCGTCCTGCCTGACGGCGCCGTCGCCCGCTCCCTGGTTCGCCGCGTCTCTCCTCGCTCTCCCACGCCTCCAGTCTCCCTCCTGGAAAGGACAGGCGAGCGCGGGCGGCGGCTCCGGGACCGCTGTCGGCGCGGCTGGGCGCGGGGGCGGCTCTCCTGCGGGACTCGGGCTGCCCTCGCTAGACCCGCGGGTCGCAGATCGCGGGCTTGACAAAATGGCCAGGCGGGAGAATCCCTGCTTGGACGCAAAGAACTCCCTTGCATATGAGCTGCCTTGTCCTCCGAGAGCTCATAGGGTCCCTGGGGGGTAACCGTGGCTGCAAACTGTCGGAACTGGACAGTTCCCAACGCCCCTTAATACATATGACTTTCCAGGGGCCATGACAACGTTGGTAAAACGGCAGGGATTATTGATCCCATATTTGAGACGAGACCTAAAACTCAGGGCACATATCTAGGAAGTGAAAGAGAGGGAAAGGGTTAAAAATCCCGTGCACATGCACGCATTCATTCACTCTCTCCGCCCTCCCCTCCCCCCTCAACTCACAGGCCTCTCCCTACCCTTCAAGAAACTTGGAAGGAACTGGGGTGGGTTGGAGGAGGACAGCGACCGTCTGGACATGGGGATGGAAAGAAGTATGGGGTGACAGGTTTTTTCCTAAAGGCTTGGGGTGGGGAGGAGTGAATCGGAGTCACCGTTTAGGTCACGACTGGGGAAGGGGCTTTAACCTCCCGCTCAGTGTTTGGCTTGTCCAGCCTGCTGCTCTGTTCACACGCGGGAGATGGACTCCGGAGTTGCCTGCTGCGTAGTTGCAGAAGCCTTTTGAGAGGGTCACTTGTTGCGCTGGGAAGCAAACCCTGGTTTCGGGATTTTCAGCATTCGGCTGGAAGGTGGCCATTTCTCGTCGAATCTTGTGTCTTTCCTTTTGCTTTCCCTGTCATTTTGGTCTCCTGGCGGGATTTTGAGGGTTGAGGGCAAGAGCAGCAAGAGCTGGACCGCCAAGCTCAAGGCGGAGCAGGAAAGTAGAGTCCAACGCACTGGGAAGGGGCAAAGGAGGATTCACCTAGTGAAACCCCCACCCCCACCACCACCCCGGAATCCAAGACAAGGGGAGTGGGCTGGGAATGGATTTGTTTTAGCGTTTACAGACCATTATGCACATGGAATAGCTGCAGGATTTTCAAATTCTCTGATCCATAGCAACAGGAGCCGCAAGGGGCTTCTGTCTGCACTTGGCGAAACTTGAAGAGATGCAGCTGCTTGGACCCTGGAGCGGAAAACTTTGACATTGTGTGAATGTGTAAGCACAACTGAGAGTCATTTCCATTTGTTCAGTAGGTGTTAAATTCTTAGGAGTGTAAGAAACTCAATTATCAGTGGAAGATACTGGGTGAACATCGTGTATATGGGTGGCCTGTGGATGGTTGCTAAGTGTGAGGTGAAAACCAAACCAAACCAGTGTGGCACTAGAGTACTCTGTAGTGATACTGGATAAGCTCTTCTGAAACGTCTTTAGTGACACACATGTCAAAGATAAGGCAGAGAAGGGGCTACAGTGGGGGAAAATAGAGTATTTAAGTTTAAAGACCTGTGTTTTGGTCATTGAACAGTTAATGCTGTGACTGAGACCACTGATTCTTTCCCCTTCTTCCCGTGTGATCACACAACTGAGTCTCAGATTGGCTGGTAGTGAGGAAAATGTGTAAAGATTGAAAACCAAATACTAGCCTCTAAATCATTCTTAAATTCACAACTATATCAGCTTTAGGTAAAACACAAAATATGAATTGCAGAAAGGGTTCTGAGCTTTTCCTAATCACTACAAGTAATTGTAGTCTTAATTTCTTTTGAACTTTCCTTTGGGAACAAAAAGTGGAAAAAAGTAGTCTAAAATAATTGCAAGAATATTTTTCCCTTTAAGGGAGAATACATGCTATACGAGTGGGGTATTCAATTTAATATATGAGCATATATATTGGATGGCTATCACTAAGAAAGATATTCTGCTAAATTGTGTATAAGATATAAAGATGAACAAGATTGCTTTATATCTTCCATTTGCAGATCTATGCAACAGTTACAAGTAAAATACTTTAATCTTCAAGTAGATTCTCAATAGACATTTATCAAGTGGTTTCAAATACTTTTTCCAAATATTTAATTATATTGATTAGCCACCCAGCTTCACATTGTTCTTTAAAGTAGGTTTTCTTTTAAGTTGTACACTGTGCCCTTTTTTACAGGTCCCTTAATAAAAGCACTTCCAGTGACCTTTCTACTTATTGTTTAACGAGAACTGAATTATTGGTAGAAGGACATTTGAAAGTTAATTAGCCCTGCCCAGATGGTGTCGGTTTTTCCTAACATTACAGTGACAATTACGAGCTTCAAAATTGTGTATATTTTTAATTCCTCTGTAGAGAGATGGAGAGAAATTCAGGTAATCCCAGTTAAAGTCATTTTACATTAAGGGAGTTACAAATCACATCTCTAAGCAAGATACTACTTTACTATTTCACTGTTTTAAATGCCAGTAAAACTTAAGTATCATCATTTTCTTTACCATAACAGTAGTAGCAGAAGCAACAACATTGTTATTGCCATTGAGGAGTTCCCCAATCAAACTGATTAATCTAATATTTTAGTAAAATTTGTGAAGTTCTCACACTGAAGCTGCTAACACCAGTTAATTTACTATTATGGAATAGTTTATTAGAATCACTGTATGTGTCAACATTACTGGTATGCTAAAAGGTTCATGATGGGAATTTTTTAGAAAATCATATTTTTGAAGTCTTTTTTGTTACTATTCTCCCCTTCCCCAAAATACCCATTAAACTCATCCTAATACACAACATGATTTAACACTAGAATGTTTAGGGAAAATATAAAGCAATATATTGGACTCAAATGTTATTTTTCAGGCATACTGTGACTGAATATACATAATAGTTTTTGAACTAGATTTAGGGTAATTTCTGGTCTTTAATTGCTGCTTAAATGCGTATCAGGCTCAAGGAACCTATGTTGTTTGTAAGATGGATCTCATAAATCATAGTTAATCAAACCCACTTAAGCTCATAGTCACTTAAGCTCACATTACAATTGAGTAGACCTAATTTTTAAAAAATTAAAACGGTTAAATCTAACTTAAAATATTTCATAAGCCTTTAATTCATCAGTGTTTTAATTTTGCATTTATGCACAATTTAAATTCAAGACTAAACATTTTTAAATAAAATTTTAGACTAATTCTTCTAAATTCACGTATGAGTTCATTTTCTTAAAGGTGAGGGCAATGAGTAGGTGTATGGCAAAGAATTTTATTGAAGTATTTAATAAGAAAAGAGATACGTAAGTGAAATTTTTTAAATTGTATCATGATTTTCCCCTGAGATCACGATATTTTGAGTCCATGATAAGAGCTTAAAATGGATAGAGAGACTTCATAGATTTTTTTCTACAGACACAAAGCAACTGACTACCCAATTAATTTAGTTATCATTTTTGTGTCACCATACCTCTGAGTTGTACATATCCTAATGATTGTATAAAGAATTACAACTTAGAAACATATATCAGTGGAATTTTTTCCTTGAGACTTGTAGGTCTGAAAAAGGATAAAGCAAGCCCAACGAATTCAGAATGGTAGGCCACTTGAAGAAGGATATATGAAAATATATTTTTCCTTCCGGCCAACTTCTACTATTTCTAGTCTCATTGACACATGATCATAAACTTGGTCTCATCTACTCCTAAGGGAAATGAAGGACTATCTTCAAAGCCAAGTAGATCTCAACAAATATCTATTTTCTTAGTTCTGGGATGCCATTTTATTAGCAGTATTGGCGGAAAAAAAATTTTTTTTTTTTTTTGCTTTATCCTTTTTTCTTGTGACAAACTAAAAAACTATTTCCTTTTTGTATGAACTGTTAGTCTCTGACATCTGATTCTTATGAGAGTGATTTTATGTACAAAGTTCAAACCACATCTTTAAAAATCTTACTCATCATTGTAATTTTGCTTTTTTGGAAAATAAAATCATTATTTGGGATGCATCTGCATTGATTTACAAACTTTTTTACAAAATTCTGGCAGAAGACACATATTACCATAAAGTTTTAATGTAATTTCCAATGCCAGTTAAAATCATCTATATTGAAGTTGTAGTTATGTTCTTTGTGATCTACCTTATATCCTATTAATCATGTGTACATTAAGTCAATAGAATGTAAGCTCTTTGAGGGCAGGGCTTGTTTATTGTTGTATCCTCAGTGCCTAGAAAAATCTATGACTCATGCTAGAGGTGTAATAAATATTTTAATTAATCAATGAATTTATTATAAAGATGCTTCAACTTTATTTGTAAACTAATGGATCTTACTTAATAATCTCCAAATCCTTTCAGAAACTAAGTAGTATATGCCTGTGTATTTATGTCTTCATTGCCTAACATAATATCCTATATAGGTAGGATAGGCCTACAAAATATTCAGTTTATAATAATTGCCAAGATTAAAGCATTTGAGACATTTAAAAGCTTGAATTCAATGAGCAACATACTTAAAAAAAAACAACTGATCACCATATAGATAGATACCCACTGACTTTCCTCAGAGTGCATTCAGGTAGAGTATAATTCCATGGCTAAATTTGTAAGTACTGACTGATCAAAGCACCAAATTTATAGAAGTGCTAGAAAAGTAAGAATATCTTTTCAACACATTCACATACAGCAAGCAGTAAAAAGGAAAGCATATTAGTTTGGTTAAGTAACAGG